TGCGTGTGCAGGGGGTTGGACTGGATGATCCCTAGAGGTCCCTTCCAACCTTCAGCATTCTGTGATTCTATGATCCTAAGCCCTGGCCCAGGCCCAGGCCCAGCTGAGAGACAATCCCAATTTCCTTCATCCCAGGCCGCAGCCCAGCAGGAGGGTCTGAATGCTGCTTTCTGACGAGACTCTCGGTGCGCTGGGGTGAGCTGGGCTCTGTGGATCAGGGCCGTGTCCTGGGATGAGAGCATCCCCTTCCCAGGACTCAGGGAGGGGATGTAGCTCAGTGGGAGAGCGCCTGCTTCGCATGCAGGAGGTCCTGGGTTCGATCCCCAGCATCTCCAGGTGTGTCCGTGGTTTTTCCTGACCCGTCACCCAACGGAGGTGAGGGCTGGGACATTGCTCCTCTGCAGAAAACATCAGCTTTCCACAGTCATGTGGAAAGTGCAGCTTCCCGCTGGAAAAGGCCCAGATAGATCCGGATAAATATCTGTCCAGATATCAGATCCAGATAGATTGTCAAAAAAGCCTTCCCAGGCGAAACGATACCACTACTGTTGCAACAACCTGATTGATCAGCAGTAGACAAATAGACAGGAGCTGTGAGCCATCAGGTGCATCTCAGGAGATATCACAGGATCAAGAGGATGGCAAGGGTAAGATCTCGAGAGGACTCGATACTCTCCAGGAGGCAGTTTTTTGCTAGGAGAAGAGTCCAGCCCCTTCCTCCTTACACTCTCCCTTCAGATACTTCTACCTAGTGAGAGGAGCCGCCTTCTGCAGCCTCTCCTCCACGTGGAACAGGCCCAGCTCTTGGAACCTTTGCTCACAGGAGAGGCCTTTCACCATCTTTGTAGGCCTTTGCTGGACTTGCTCCAGGAGTTCCAAGTGTCTCTCGTAGTGGGGAGCCCAGCGCTGGACACAGTCCTCCAGCTGCAGCCTAACCAGGGCTGAGTACAGGCTGAGAATTGTATCATGCTCTTGCCCATGAGCCCTGATTGAGGGGGAAGGTGTTTTAGCAGAAAAGTTCTCCTAGGAGTAGGCTGAGAGCCCAGAACCCGGCCCCTGGATTCCAGATACAGCCCGACCAGGGCTGGATGGAGGGGCAGGATCACCTCTCTTGACCTGCTGGCAACACTCTTCCTAATGCACCTGAGGACACAGCTGGCTGCCTTGGCCACAAAGGGACATTGCTGACGGATGGCCAGCTTGTCCACCTGGGCTCCCAGGTCCTTCTCCACAGAGCTGCTCTGCTGCATGGAGTTATTCCTCCCTATGGGCAGGACCCTGCACTTGCCTTTGATGAACCTCATGAGATTCCTTTCCACCCATCTCCCCCGGCCCCTCTAAAGGGCAGTTTTGTGTCACCTGCCCCTTCATGCAGGTCATTGATGAATAATTTGAACAAGACCAGACCCAGTACTGATGCCTGGAGAACACTGCGTCAGTTAGGCACTGATCACAGCCCAATGAGCTCTGCCATTCAGACAGTTCTAAATGCACCTCCCTGTCCACTCATCCAACCCACTCTTCCTGAGTTTGTCTATGAGAGTGTTAGAGGAAACAATGTCAAAAGCCCTGCTGAATTTCAGATAGACAACATGCACCACCCTGCCCTCATCAACCCAGATGGTTATTCCAGCATAGGAGGCTCCTCAAGAAATGGGGATCACCTTCTTTTCTTCTGCATGCTTAGGATGAAGACACAAGTGGCCTGTATGGGGTCTGAACGCCCACCTTGCCATTATTAGCACTCTGCTCTAACCAAGCTTACCAGCCATGGTGCAAAAAGGTCCTCACTTGGCCCAGATCTTGCAGCCCTTCAGCTGTTCCCCCGCCTCCAGCTGCTGCATGGTCAAGAGAGAAACACAGAGGACCTCCTCATCAGCAACCAAGCATCGTCCCTCAGGGGGCCATGGAGAGCCACCCAGGCCGTAGGAGCCATAGGGACCATGCACCACAACAGATACCCTTTCCCTGTCCCACATGCTGGGCTGACCCAGCAAAGGGGTCACAGCTGCCCCTGTTGTGGCCACCATGAACCAATTCTGACCCAAGATCCTTCCGCAGCCACTCAGTTCCTGTGCCTGCAGGTCATTTTGGAAGAACATCATAAATTCAGGATGGGGCCAGAATCCTCAAGTTGGTTTATTGCCCTATTCTGGCCATGATGCAGAATCCCA